CTCAGTTTGAGGGGCCTCAACAAGTCGAGATGAAGGAGCAGAGGACAACTCATGCAACATATAATCGTAAAGAAAAAGAGCAACAGAAGAAGGAGTTTAAGGAAGCCTCACAAGTATTGGCTCCTGAGTCTGCGGGAGAAGCAGGATTTATAAACTTTTTGGAGCTACCTTTAAGGGCAGACTTCAAAGCACTTCTTTCGAGATTTATGGATAAGAGAGACTGACAAGGATGGAGATCGAATGAAAATTCTAGATAAGAAGTTTAAATTTAAGTACTTAGTTTAAGTATTCAAAAGAGTACTGAGTCTGTGGGAGAAGCAAGATTTACAAACTTTTTGGAGTTAGCTTTAAGGGCAGTTTTCAAAGCACTTCTTTTGAGGTTTATGGACAAAAGAGACTGATAAGGAATGTGTTTATTGTGAATGGAATTTGTTATTGGTAAAGATTTAAATGTGTATAAGGGGATTTTAATGGTTTATGGACAAGAGAGACTGATAAGGAATGTGTTTATTGTGGATGGAATTTGTTATTGGTAAAGATTTAAATGTGTATAAGGGAATTCTAATGTTTTAAGTAATGTTCAAATTTGTGTTTTGGAGGGAGTTTATAAAGAATGATGGATAATAACATAAGTATGATATGAAAAGGTTCAGAGTATATTATAATGTGTTTAATGATTGGGGTTTTTTATTATTATTATTATTATTTAAGAGAAGATAACTTGTTTAATTAAATGTACCTAGATTTGTTTAGGATTTATATGTCTTTTAAGTTTTTTTTTTTTGATAGGAGAGAAGATTATGGAGATTGAATGAAAATCTTAGATAAGAAGTTTAAGTTTAAGTATTTAGTTTAAGTATTCAAAGAATATTTAGTTTTAATGGATAATGAAGGTTTATATGCTTATTTTTGTGTTCTAGGATAAAGAAAGAGGGAGAGATTAGATTTTATATTGTAGGTATAGATATTCAAAGAAAGTAATGTTTAAATTTATGTTTTGGAGGGAGTTTATACAGAATGATGGATAATAATATAAGTATGATACTAGAAAATGTTTAGAGTATATTATAATGTGTTTAATGATTGCAATTATTATTTTTTAGAGAAGATAACCTATTTAATTTAATGTATTTAGATTTGTTTAGGATTTATATGTGTTTTAAGTTTTTCTTTTCTTTTTCTGAAAAATTTTAATTAAGCCTGTACTCAGCTCTGGGAAGGTTGGGGGAGGGTTTGGGAGGTTTGGGGAGGTGGGGGAGGGTATGGGAGGGTGGGGGGGGTTGGGGAGGGGATTTGTTTTGTAAAATTTAAAAAACTTTCAATAAAAAAAAGAACCGCAGTGATTCACTTAACAAATGTGGCAAAAATGTCATAAAATGGGGCAAAACTCATTTAACAAATTTTTCACCCCTCCTTTTATATCCTCTCTTCTCTCCTTCTTTTATATCCTCTCTTCTCTCCCCTTTTATATCCTCTTCTCTCTCCCCCTTTCTTTTATATCCTTTCTTCTTTCCTCCCCTTTTTAGTATCCTCTCTTCTCTCCCTTCTTTTATATCATCTCTTCTCTCTCCCTTTTATATCCTCTTCTCTCCCCCTTTTATATCCTTTCTTTTCTCCCCTCCTTCTTCTTTTATATTCTCTCTTCTCTTCATCTCCTTCTTTTGTATCGTCTCTTCTCTCCCACTTTTCTCTTCGGTGCACCTCCAGCTGACTGCACTCCTCGAGACTCTGCATTTCTGTCTCTCTTTTGCCATCCCCTTCTCTTCCTCCCCCCTTTGTCTTTTTTTTCTCTCCCTCTCCCATCAAAACCTGCTCCTTTTATAGCCTTTCCTCTCTCTTCCCTGCCTCCTTTTCTCTTCTGGGAGCTCTAGAAGCGCCGATCAGCTGTAACTGCATGTGCTGATCCTGAGCTCTCAGCAGGCAACACCTTGGACAGCTTCAGCTGAATCTCTGCCTGAAGACTGCATGAGGCTGTCTGCCACCCCCAATCAGCTGGAGCTGTGCACGCTGATCCTGGGCTCTCAGCAGGACCCAGGCAATGCCTTGTGCACCTCCAGTTGAATCTCTGCCTGAAGATTGCATTGTGCTGCCTGCCACCCCCAAGGCTGCCAACAATCAACTGGAGCTGTGCCCGCTGATCCTGGGCTCTCAGCAGGACCCAGGCAACGCTTTGCACAGCACCAGTTGAATCCCTGCCTGAAGACTCCGTGGGACTGCCTGCCACTCCCAAGGCTGCCGCCAATCAGCTGGAGTTGTGCACACTGATCCTGGGCTCTCAGCAGGACCCTGGCAATACCTCACGCAGCGCCTGTGTGGCGCTGCCACTGCTTCACCTCATCCACTTTTACACTTTTGTAATACTGTTTTCATAGTGCTTTTCAACCAGTCATATGCATACCACCTGCCAGGTGCTGCTCTGCCCTGCTTTACAGTCACTAGTATTTAAGGGAAGTATCATGTGGTCAGAACATAATATGCAGCTACCAAGATATATATGTCCTATATCTGCCCAAAGAAAAATTCAATGAACTCATTCAGTTCCTTGCATTCTCCTTATCATATAATAATTTACTTGCTTTCTTATTACTGAATGCTCCAACCATTTGTCTAATTGTCTAATTGGTTAACTGCTTCAAATACATTAAGGATGATGATAATGATGTTTTTAACATTATTACAGATATACTCCTTAAAACTTTTCTTTACATTATTTATTCGCATTTTTTATTGTAAATTTATATTATTTGTTTGATAAAACACTCATTTTCTGAAAGTAGCTTTATTTTTGCCTTATGGCTTTCTTATCCTTGCGTATTAATTGCATCTGTGACTTTTGGGGAAGTTATTTTTTAAGTATGCCATTTACTACTGGTATTCAGTTCAAATAAATCAACATAAGAGTATAATAATATGCCACATATATGTAGGTTATTTTGTAATTATACAGCTTGAGCTAAATTAAACTCTTGACAGTTTGAGTTCTGTCTCAGTTTCATCCTTCTTTCCTTCATTTTAGAGGGAGGAAATAACTGTTTTAAATTGAGCAAATATTAGAAGAATATTCTGATGAAACATTTGCAGGCATGCAACCTCCCCACTCTCCACCTTTGCCTTATTGCCCTGTTCCCTCAAATATGTGGGACCTTCAGTGAGTTTTCAACAACTTTTAAAAGTTTGAGAAGAACCTCACAACTTTTCAGCAGGGCTACAACATTTGGATCAGGCACTACTACAATACTGCTAAGCTATGGCCAAACCTAACATTGGGAAATAAAGTACCTGCCTCCAGCAGCTGACTTAGAATTAATGAAAGAGGAGCAAAATTACAGCTTATCATTGTGCTGTTTTTATTTCCATGATTTTTACTTCCAAGGAGAGTTACTTATTGGATTTTACTTCAGGTACTCTCACCCAAATCATTGGGCAATCTATACCAGCTTTGCAATAGGATAAATTAACTATCAGCATAGTCAATGGTTTCAGTGCAAGATGTTGAAAACAAAATTGGGAAGAGCAAAAAACATGCAATAAATATCAATCTCCCTTTACTTCCACTTCTCTGGGAAGACACCATCAGCATATTGGATGTTGGCTTTGCCATTGATGAAGGAGGTCTCCTGTAAACTTATATGATTAGAGGAAGCACAAGTGAGCTTTTAACCTTTGTTTCAGGTCCTTCATTTGCCAAGATGGCATTGGACAAGAAGCCAAGAGGAATTGATTTTATTGTTATTAAATCAAGCTCTCTAGGTAGGAAGAGGAAGTGAAGAGAAACTGGTCTGTTTGAATTCTGGAATATTAAATAATGTCATTTAAAATACTTTTTACATGTTCATAGTAGCCATAGATGGTATTGGGAATTTTGCTATGGTTTGAATGTAGCAAGTGGGAATAGTTGTCAGACTAGGATCAAGATGATTTAAATCAAGTCTTTGCTTAGTTAGGGAAGCTTCTTGAATGATTTGGAACTGGCCATTCTTTCTTAGCTTAATCAATCTTATCTGTCTGTTATTGTGTGTTGTGCGTAGTATATTGCCTTGAACCTCTGAAGGAGAAGTCGGGTACAAATGTAGAAACAGACAAACAAATATTGCATACTATCTTCTGCATATGCAGAATGTAGAGCACAGAGCAATATTAAGAATTTTTGAAATACAGCCACATTTTCATGGAGAAAGTTCATAAATCTGTGAAACTTATTTAATCTTACTGTGCTCAGTTTATCAACTAGTAGATTAGTGGACTAATCAGTGTTTATATATAGCCCAGAAAGACGCTTTTGCATAATGCGCTGTAAAAACAGGACAACCTGACCCAAGCCCAAATAACAATTATTTTTCACATTTATATAGGATCTATTATTTTTAAGTACTGAACAGAAATTAAAAGCAGGAGAATCTTGCCCTTACTAACATGCTCTAATAAAGTAATACAAAAGGAAAAAGATTGTTGCAGGAAAAATAATAACATGTATCTTAGCTATCTATTTTTAAAATTATATAATTCTCTTGTGATAATTGACAATTACAGGGAAGAGAACATTTAAATGACAGCTGACATCCTTTTTAATTATTTATTTTAGATTACTGAATGGAAAATATAAATCAACTATAATCAATCATAAAAACTCAGAAATAGATAGAAGCTAATGAAAAGCAAATATTTCTTGAGAGATTGAGTTGACTCCAAATTTCTGAAGAAATATTGGTGGATAGCAAATAGCTCAGTACTTGAGCAATGCAAGCAAGAAAGGAAGTCTAACCATAAGGGAAACTGCAGAACTTTTTAATACTCTCACTAGTGCAAATGCCGAAACTGGAAACTACTATTCCATACTTACTATTTCATTTTCATTGACCCAAAATGAAAAATTGCTCAAATAATTGGCAATTTAATTTTGTTATTTTCATCATTCAAGAAAAACAAAGATTATTCCTGTCTTAATCAAATTTTAGGATTTACTTTTTCAATATTTTTAAAAGTGGGACTCCAATACTTACATTATTTTTCTGTAGATTTTTGACAACAAAAGATCATATTTTATTTCAGTGCCAAGTCCAATGAGTCTTTCAGATCTCTGCTATGGGAAAACAGCCAAGGATTAGTAAAGTGTTTTTTAAGATTAAGATAGCAAAAGGATCATGGAAGAGTACAAATGGAACTAGTTGCTGCTGATCCCTAATCTGAATCTGGCAGAGATGTAGATAAACGTCAGAAAGCATAGTCTATCATAATATGGACAATTGGTTGGTCCTTGCCATCTCTCTTCTACAAGTGCTTGGTTAGTGAGGCAGATTGGACCTGACATTGGCAAAAATGAAAATCTGTTATTCTCTGACTGAATTTCCAAAGCATATCCTGAGATATTCAAAGATTACCAATCAGTAATAATGGGCTGCAAAGTGCATTCCAACTGTAATCAAACGTGGAGTGTAGGTACCAAACTAATTTGAAAGGTCATTTAAAATTGAATTTATCTCATTCGGTACGTGTAGCTAATAAACTAGGAAATCTGAGAAAATGAAGTTTATAAAAACTAAAAACTAAAATGCAGCCAGTCTCTTTGCTGAACAAAAGTAGTGGCTTGCACTGTCTACCCTTCCTAAGAAAGAATAGCAGAAATACAGAGAAAAATGAGGAGTCTGATCATAACTAACTCAATGGAGTAGACTCTGCACCCTGCCTTTATCTCTGTAACAGTTGAATGGAATGGCTGTTAATAGGCAACCATTTTGGGAAACATTCTGAATGGCAGATGAAGGCCTGTTATAGTAAATCCATTTAAACTGGTACAATGTCAGAGGCCAGTAGCTCTGCCTGAATGGCTCTCGATCAGGTAGCATTAAACAATCTAGCTCAGGTCAGTTTGGCATTTGGGTTGATGCAATACAAAATGTGGTATTATCTTTCATTTTTCTATAATAAAATATCCTGCATACCCAGAAATCTTCTGGGTCAGCTATAAAACCAGTTGCATAGCACTGTAATTATTTTAAATAATTAATTTTCTTTTCTTTTTCTTTAAAAAATGAATTAACACAACCAATCCATCAGGCAAATTTTAATGTGTGGCATAGAACTTTGGTAAATATGCTGTTAGCTTGCTTTGAAAGATAAATGGAGAACTTGATAATTATTTTGGCCCAAGCATTTTTTCGGGGGCAGTAGATTTTGTGATGCCAAGGAATCACAAAACAATATGTTTCGATCATGGAGTTATTCTATTTCAGTCCATTGAGTTAGTTACGGTGTTAGTAAATGAGCTACTAAAATATTTATCATGCATTATAGTGGAGCCAGTTTGGTGTGGTGATTAAGGCATCAGGCTAGAATCCAGAAAACCATGAGTTCCAGTTCCACCTTTGGCACAAAGCCAATTGAGTGGCCTTGGGCCAGTCACTTTCTGTGTGCCTTAGGGAGGAAGCAATGGTTTGTCTGGGACTTGTATAGGCAGTTTCTGGGAATCAGATACAATTTAATGGAAGAAAGAAAATTGGAGCATTATGATTTATTAAAATGACAGCATATACCAGCTTAATTATTACATCTATGTCTATATGAGATCAAACTACCCTTGCCTACTGATGAAGGAATAGACTAAAACCTTGAGAAGCATTAATTACTGCATTGATATTGTGTCCATGCTAATTAAAGAAAATGAAAATATCTATCTTTGGAAGCATGAGGCTTACTTTTATAGAGACATTAGATATTATATAGCTTATATTTTGCATACAAGGTACAAATTCTGTAAATATTTAGACACAGTATGATTGTCACAGGATTAAACTTCGTGTTAATATAACATGTAGCTACACTGGTATTTTTTTAACACATTTTATTAGTTTTTTAATTTCTTAAGAAAAAGTATTCAAGACCCACTGTGGTGTTTGGGTGGTCAAATATTCAAAAGTAAAGACATATATAAACAGCTCAGCACAATACATTTCGCTATCCCCTCTCTATTTCCCTCAAATAACATAATACATTTAAAATATGCCATTTCTATTTTAAATTTCTATAACTGCTAAACCTGTTTTATAACTTTATCAGTTTACAATTACCATAATTTAGCTTTAAAACAACAAATTATCAATTCTAATTCTTAATCTCTCACATCCCTCATTTTATCACCAATCTCATTTGTTTCTTCTTCCATAACACAGTAAATATCCTAATAGCAATAAAGTATTAATCAACCCTATACATATATAATCCCACAATCAATCCATCTCTTTAAAATAACAAAATAGTATTAAACCTTAATTCATTCAGGTTCATTAAACAGAATTCAAATTTTCTCCAATTACTTATCATGCCTTATCACATCTTTGTTGTCACACAAAAAGGTCATCTTACTAATTTAAAACACTCCATTGATTATTGAAACTATCCAATCTAAATAGTCATCATTTTTTCAATTCCAATACATAATGATTTTCATCAAATTGAATCTATTATTCACTACATGAATACACAGATCCAGTACATTCTTAATCTGTTTAAAATATGTATCAGCCTTGATCCTTAAAACAGTCCATAAATCCAGCGTTGCCTTTTATTCCATTACACCATTTTAAATTTCTTTTTTCAATCTAATTCTGGCTTTTTTCCTATGGCAGGTAGGTTTCCATAAAGACGCTTCCCTTTCAGCCAGTAGATCTATTTTTGTTGCTTGCAGTGAACTTTGAAAGAATAAGAGTCCCATCCTCTGTGTCAAGTGTCTGTTTCTCTCCTCCTTAAAATATCATTGCTTTGTAGTTTCAAATCTCAGTCTTTGCTTCCTCTTTCCTCAAGGTTACAAATGAAAGATTTGTAAAGTATGATGAGTTCCTCTTTTATCTCTGTTAATTCCTTTTCTAGTATGTTTTGATTTGTCAAATAGTCAGATGTAGTCTGAGCATCCATTTGAATGTTTGACATGAGATTTCTGGATTTTAGTTCTGTAATAGGTTCTTTCAATATGGCACAAATTTCTGCAGTGGCCTCATATATCTTTCCAGTATAAGATTATAGTTTAGTTGTGGATGTGATTCCTCCATTTTAATAGCGAGTAGAAAAAAAATCTCTTTTTTCTTTTTTGTGGGGACTGTATTTGATAAAGATTAGTCAGTGTCCACCCCCACAGTTCCCAACATCTGCACAGCTTATCTTTTTTCAAAAATAATTTGGAGGTCAAAACTTTCCAAACAATAACCAGAAATTACAATGTTAAATTTTCGCCACTAGATGTCCTCAGTAGGTTAAGAAAAAGTCTTTTCCAGTCTTTAAAAGTATAGTATGAAAGAAGAAATAATCTTCCAACATCAGATGATAGTACAATTCTTAGAAAAAAAGGAGAGAGAATTTTCTGTATCCCAAAAAGTATGAAAATAAGATATAGTTTTTAAAAAAGCCTTCTTTCCCAAAGATGTAAAAGCTGCCTTCTCAAGTCAGGGAAATAATTCCAACAAGGCTCTTACAGGTTCCAAAAGCAAAGTAAAGTAGAGAAAGTAACAAGGAAAAGTCTCACCCGGATTCACCACAGGGGTTCTTACAACTTAGATATTCTTTGACTTGCGGTTTGAAGCGGCAGGGTGATCGGCCGATCTTCTTCTCCGTCGGCCCTCAGAGATCGCCCGGACAGCTGGAGGAGCCGCCACTCCTCTTCAGCTGAGCTGAAGCCTCCTCGATGGAAGTTGCACCCTCCAGGGCGACTTTCAACCCGTATAAGGGTCAACCGGCGGAAGGAAAGCTAGCTGATGAGTTTCCCCGGGCGACTAGGAATGCCACAAACCGGAACCGGAAGTCGCTACACTGGTATTTTTAAATTAACTGTCAGGGTGGCAGAGTCAACCTAAATCATTACAGTACTTTAATATGAGATTCTAAACACTTAATACTTCACCTCATAGATCAGGAAAATGCAATGTGCTGATGATAGCCAGTCATATCTTTTGAACTCAGATTGATGAAGTAAGACTGTCAGGGTCCTGCTCCAATGCCTAGAGACTATGCAGGCCTGAATGGAAAGGAACTGACTCTGACTTAATCCTACCAAGATTAAATGGCTTTGGATGTTTAGAGTCTCACAGATTGGGGGATTTTCTATCTTTAATCTTAGATAAGGTAATCCACCCCCATTTAAGAGTAGTTATTTATTTAGTGTATAATGAGAACATGACAAAAGAGAAATAAACATCTACATACAATCCATGTAATTATATACAAACTGTTTATGGGGATATGGCAGTGGGCTCATAACTGGATGCCCAATTCAATTTTGGAGGCAATCGCCACTGGTATTGTTTCATGCAGATCTTCTAGGGAACCAGAGAATGCACATTGTGGGTAATCTTGCACAATATGTTTAATAGTTTGCATATCACAACTGCAACAAGGGAAATCTTTCAAACCCCACTGATACAGGGTAGAGGCACTTTTTCCAGTGTCACATCTAATTCTGTTCAATTTTGTCCAAATAGAATGAGGCAGGTCAAAACCAGGTGGTTTGGTACAGGCATCACTAATGGTTCAGGCCACAAGAAGGTACCTGGGACCATTCCTCTCTCCAAACATTCTCGGGGTTAAACTGAGTAGATATTAGGCGAATAGCTGTTTTCCATGCTGGCCTGTGGGATTTCAGTCTTGTGATGGGCTGTGCATTGACCTGATGTACAAGGAAGGCCTTGTTCAGCATCCTTGACCAAAGCTGAATGAGAGCTTGTTGTGTTCTAATGTAGAATGGTATGATGTTGCTAAGTACTGATATAACCGATGCACAGGAGTGGGATGCAATGTGCCAGAGATAATATGCATTATCTGGTGGAGTTGGATATGGACCATTTGGGTGTGGATGCTGTCAAATCACACACTGGCATAAAATTCAGCTGTGAAATAAACCAAAGCCAAGGCTGTTATTCATAGAGTTAGCATCAGCACCCCAGGACATTCTAGCCAGTCTGTTGAGTAAATTTTCAATTTACTCAACAGACTGGTTTTCAATTATGCAGCTGTTTTTTTCCCCAGGTTTTGGAAGGTTAATGATGGTGTGCAATTTAGGGATTTTCTTTGCTGCAGAGCTCCTGCTCCATGTATACCAGTTGCATCCCTTCCTGCACCAGTAGGGTCTTCAGAGTCCCTTATGCCCTAGCCACATCAAGGCTTGACTATTGCAATGTCCTTTACATAAGGCTGTATCTTATAATCACTTAGAAGTATGTTTCTGGGAGCATTTCAAACAATAGTTGACACCTATAAATCCCTATGTGGCAGATTATTTGAGGTACTGCTTATCTTCCATAGTTTCAGCCCAGCTGGTATGAGCAAAAAAAGCCAGTGATTTTTGATCCCTTCTTATAAAAGTGACTTCTACCAAGATCAGAAAGTATGGCTCCTTTGTTGTGGCATCCGTCCTTTGAAATTAGATCCCTCATAATATCCGTGTGATAGCATTCTGAAAATCTTTGAAGATCAGGTCTTGGGTTAGGGTGGATGGAATACCTTACTGGGT